GACAACTGTGAATACAAGGTTTAGATGCGTTCTTCAGGAAGAACTGATTACTTTGTTTGTTGTAAATTAATACTGCTACCTGTTGGCACAGAGAAAATGGAGTATGTAGGTGTGGGAGTAAACCTTCTAAGAAAAGCTCTAAAAAATAGGCCCTCAGTGCCAGCAACATTTGAACACAAGACATTTGGTTTAGTTAAGGGAAACGTTTTATTCATGTTTTGTATTTGCTCCTAGGAATGCACAACTTGTAACAGTTGAAATCAGCAAACACAACTGCAGTCCTCTTTTTGGATAAAGTTTGTATTGTTCAATATAACGAACGTTTAGTGCAAAACTCTGAGTCAGCCTTTTTTGTCAATGCAAATATCTGCACACACGAACCGATGCCTGCAATACATTTAGATAGAATAAACTTTACCAAATCAAGTAAGATTTACAGACCTATCTCAGATACATAGGACATAATGAAATTACCTTGAAGGTACATAATTCCTTTGAGTAACATAAGCATTAAGAAATCAAGTTGGAGTTACAATTGATAATCAGGTACCCTGGACATCATGGATTTACATTAACATTACACAATATGATGGCATTATAGTAACTGACAAATAACATGTTGAGTCAACATGATTCTTTTAAACTGTCTAATATGAATTAATTATTTTGGTTTGACAAGCAATAATTCATTGAGGAAAAACAGGAAAATTATGTCAGTTAGCCACATTCTGATCATGTGGGACCGATGTACACATTAAAATCGAGTAAATCCAAAGGATTTTTTTTTTCAGTGTGTAAAGGCCAACATGTGTCTGTGTATAAATCCATGCATTTCTAACTTTTTTGTTCCAATGTTGAGAGCAGTGTGTGAGAAAAGATTTTGCTACAATGGTTACATCCTGTGTTCATTAACTAGGATCTTGTTTGAATCAATACAGCCACACACACCCTGGTCTTCAAGTGCCAGCGCTGTGAGAACGAAGGCTATTAGCAGATCATGCAGAGACAGGGAGGAGTGTTTTAGAGACTGAAGAGAAAAGTGTTTTTAACTCCCTAGTGTAGGGGATTTATAACTCTTTAAATACCTCTAACGTGTATCATCATAATCTCCCACTGCTGCCGTGGGCAACCGTATCTTCCGGGACTGCTTTTTCCTGTGCTCTCTTTTTTTTTTTTTATCTGGATGTGGCACTCTCTCGCCGTGTGTTTAGACTTGTCAAAAGCCTGGTCGACCTCATTCTTACCGTACCCGCCTCTGCTGAACTCTGTTAAAGAGGCGGGCAGGAGTGACAGGAGGTTTACATCTAAAAGCCTGTGTGACCTGCTGACTGTCTAGCTATCCAGTCCTTCTATAGAGGATTATGACCTCACCCTTGTTGTCCAGATCTATATAGGCTAGCATTTGGCTTAGAGGGCCTCCGGGAATGCTCAGGAGCACGTCTGAAACTTCAGAATCTGATGCTGATGAGCAGCAGAGACATAAAACTAGGGATGGGCATGAGGACAGGAAGAGGAGCAATGGTTTTGGCTTTTGTTCAATCTTCCCAACTCATTAAATGTAACTTCCACCAGTTCACGGTTCCTGTGATGGTGCATGTTTCTGCATGAGAGAGAAAGAGAAAATGTCAGTGGTTTTCCTTAAGACTTTACCCTAATGAAATAAACATGCTTAAGTATTGTAGATATTTTTTGTATTTATTTCATTTGCCGGTTAAAAACAATAAAGTGGCCGGTAGATTTTAGGATCCACCAGCCACAGTGGCAAATTTCCATCTCTGTAATTCATATGTTTACTGTTTGATTTAAGCATTTTTATTGTACTATACTGTTTAATGGACTATTAAAGTTCACATCAGGAGTGCTTTTGCAGAAGTAGGCCGTACACTGTCTGCTGTGTACCATATTAGTTGGTGTGATATGGATAACAGGCCAATCACAAAGTAGGCCTACTTGTGATGCTTCGCCCGTGTGGACACCTTTGGACATCCGATTACAGAATCGAGTCTTTAAAACTTGTTCGTTAAAATGAACTAATTTTTTTTTGAGTCATTTTGTTCATTTGAACTATGCTGGTTATGCTTTAATTGACAAAGTATAATGCACAAATTCACCTCTTGAACCTTCTCTATCATCGTTCTATGAAGCCCCATGAGTCAAACCATTTTTAAATTATGTGCATGTTTAGCTCAGTCGGTACAGCAGGGGACACTCAATTGCTTCCATTTTATTGCAGATATTTTTTTTCCTTTATTTTTTCCTCCCAAATTGAATAAAAGGACACTTTTGCACATGTTCACATAAAGCATGTGCTGCATGTGCGTTCCGGCCTTGCTGCTAAAGATGTTCTTGCCCTTTTATTTTAGAGGCACAATCACTTAAGAGGAAGCTGTTATGTGAGTAACTGTTGCTGTCATGACTGAGATCTATTATTTTTTATTTTTGTGCAAAGCAAACTGACCGCGTTCTGGCCCACGGCATGTGGACTGCATGTGTTTTGCTGTCAGAATCCACCCAGTGACATCGCTCAGCCCTGAAACCTCCCCACCATCAGACTCACTGCTCTGAGGGAGTCTGCATGCATCTGTTTATCATTAGACAAAGGACTTTGCCAAAAGCAACGTAAATCTAAAGCATGTAGCGGGAAATTTTACACCCTAGCTGGGACAATTGGGTCATTAGTTTTTCCTATGAGAAGAGAGTTAATTTATTTATTTTATTTATATATGAAGAACAAAGTTTATAGTTCTAATCACAAGCCTAACATCTTCAACATCACTGTATAAGTTGAATATATGTGTAAAATAATATCCAAATCATTGCAGGCTGCAAAACGTTCTTGTCCATCAGCCAAATGGCTGGTGAATGCTCATAGTTTAGCTTTTAGGCCCTGCAGTGGATAAGACGCACGCCTTTGGTGTGAGAGATCCAGGTTCAACTCCCCACTGTGACCCATCTCTGATAGCAGAACAGAACCTCTATAGCAATTGTAAGTCGCTTTGGATAAAAGTGTCAGCTAAGTGAATAAATGTAAACGTGATGAAGGCTTCTCAGACAGCAGACGGGAGTTCCAGGGTCCCACTGTTTTCTGCAGCTCTGAGCTGATGACACTGCTGGACATTGTCCCTTTGTGAAGGCCACAAGCATGACGTGTCTTCAATCTGCTGTGGTAAATTTCCTTGGATGGAAATTTCCTTACACGTTGTCTACGGTCCTCAACGCAGACCGTTTCTTTGTGCTTCTTTGAGTTTGGCAGCACATCTGGAAACCATCGTTTGGGAGACGCCGTGCTACATGATCAGGTTTCAACCTACATCTTTGATCACCATCATCATCGGTTTGTAATTGTTTAAACATACATAGGATGATATCTTTTTCTGTATATTTTGCATTTTTTAAATTTAGAACTGTAATAAATCAACGTGCATTTTTAAAAAGATTATTAACAGCATTTATCCACGTGCCTAAACTTTTCCACAGTACTGTGTGTATAAATGTACTGTGTGTGTGTGTGTGTGTGTATATTGTTACGACCCCTCTCCCTTTCTGGTTGCTTGCTGCAGGAGCTGGCAGTTTGGGAGAGCTGGTCTTAAGGGTTGATAAAGTTCCAAACATATTTGTGCATCGCCGTGAGCCCGAGAGGAGGAAGGGTCCTGGCGTGAGAAGTGCCACATGCAGCACCAAGTGACACATATTGCCCTAACATTAACTGAATTATGTGTACTCAAAATTTTAATATTTCTTTTTCCAATGACTAGCCTATACGCTCTCCACATAACCCTAACAATGCCACGTCATCATTTCAGTTGTTGAGGGAGGAAGTGAGGAAAGAACAGACAAGGAAGGTGAAGATTGTGAGGAACCTACCAGGAGCCAATGAGCCAGGAACCAGTGTGCAGGGGTCAAGTCAGCCATTAGCCAGTGTGAAAGACCTGAGGAGGAAGTTAGAAAGAGGGGAAACTCTCTCCACAGGAAGTCATTCCTGCCTGTGGCCGTCAAAGTCTTCGTCGACTCCTGCAGAGAATCAAACTGAGAAGATGTGCAGTATTCTGGTTTATTCAGCACTATTATATATTTCTATTATTATTTCTACTCTTTCTCTGTAACAACTGTAACAAAAAACTTCCTCTCAGGGATCAGTAAATTATTTCTAATTGTGAGAATGTTTACCGGGTTCACCATCTTAGTTTAGTGTGTTAGCATGCTAACATTAGCTAATTAGCAGTAAACCACCAAGCTAGCACTAGTTTGTTCATGCCTCCTAAAACGACACATAAGAGCATTTCCCTTCAGGCTACTGGACCTTAACTGCGTTGCGTAAGTCCTACGTCACTTGACAAGGCGTGGTTAACAATGTGAAAGGGTCGCAGTTTGGTTAAATTTAGGCGACAAAAACTACTTGGTTAGCTTTAGAAAACGCCGGTTTGGGTTAAAGAAAGTAAATAAAGTGAGTCACGTGACAAAAGTCAGTAATGTTGAAAATAACTTCGGCTACTTGGGTCCAGCAACAATTAATGTGTGAAAATAACGTGCTGTACAAACGACCTACATGAGGGGTCGGCAAATAACTCGGCAAATTATTTTCAAGCCATTATACGGCAGGACAGAACATGATCACATGATCAACTTAACTCGCCCTTGTCCAGCTTAGTCATTAGTGCGCACTAGTGCGACTCTTGATAGGAGGCTTGTGTGTTTGATCCCCACATACTGCAAATATTTCTCATGCTCACAGTAAAGCATGTGCGTCCCAGCAACTGATCCACATCCATCTACCTCTGGAGCTCGTCATTTCCTCAGCATCTCCAGGCAGAGGAAATTCTTACGCTTCTCCTTCAGGGGAATCAAATCTCACGCCAAGTAACAGCTATTTCAGACGTGTGTCAAGCACGCCACAGACTTTTTATGAATGTCCTTCAGATTTTTTTCAGTAAAAGCTCTCAATTAAACTCATTGCTGCAAAAAACATCACACTTTCACTAAAGAGGACATGATTATTTGAGTAACTGTTGCTGTCATGACTGAGATCTACATATTTCAGCCCCAGCCACTATTTATTTTTGCTGGCATCAAAGTCAGTTTTGGCCCGCAGGCCGCCCAACGCCGACCACGGACACATGTTGTTTTTCTGGTGAGGACAGTCTCCAGTAAAGACAGCGTGCAGCTGAGGCTGATGGGAATGTCATCAGTTCTACAGTTATTTGGTCATAAATCAAAGTGTTTTGTAACATGTTGACCTGATGATGGCGCTAGATGAAAATTCAGAGGACTGACATGTTATCACAGTAAATCCTGTGTGGATGAACCAGATTTCATCACAATCCATCCAACAGCTGCTGAGACGTTCAAGTCTGAACCACAAATGTGAACCAACCGGCCTCTGAATCTCGTCCCCCCATCACTTACATCTCGAAGGAATCCAGTGTGACCAGGTGGAAAGATGACAGCAAGCAGAACCTGTTTGGATGTTCATGTGAGCCCCGACTACTACTGATCTAAGTCTTCTCAACATCCTTTTTGTATTTTCATTTCCAACATGGTGATGAAATCAGCAGAGACGTCAGAGACGGTTTCCATTTACTTTAATCTCGCTCTACGGGGCCACAGTTAAACCAGGTCACACCTGACCGAAAGTCCACATGGTAGAAAACAAAAACACACAACATGTCCATTAAAACAGTCTGACACCAGCGGCAGGGTGACGCACACACACAAGTTCAACTCCTGGTAGTGAAATCCCAGTTTTAACACTGTGGGTGGGAAGCCGGTGAGGGATCATATCCTTGTCAATGAGTAGCCACCAGTTTGTAGAGTTTAGGGCTCCAACAACTGATTATTTTCATTATAGATTAATATGCCAAAGAACGAGTGACAGTTTTCCACCGTCTTTTGTTTGAAAAAAGTATTAAAATTATTATCAAAATAGTTGCAGATTATTTTTCTGTCAATCGACCGATCGTTTCACCCCTTGATGGGCCGCCTGTAGAGCTGAAACGATTAGTCAATCAGCAGAAAATGATCAGTTACAACGATCGATCAATTATTAAAAGTCAATTTCAAAACACAAGTCTAAATTTCACTGGTTCTACACGCCAACATTTTTTTAATGGTACATTTGAACGCCTCATCTCTTGTTCCGGGAAACTGTGATGAACATTTTCAGATGTTTTATAGATCAGGCAACTAATCGCTTAATCGAGAAAATAACATCCAGATTAATCAACAGTAAAAATATTCGTTAGTTGAAGCCCTAACTGTGTGCACGGAGGGCGATCAAATCATGCTACAAAATGTATACTTGAAATATAAAGCAGGGAAACGTGTCAACAGTTCTTCTCCTCAGCACAGAGGGATCAACATTCGACTGACTTGATGAAAAAGGCACGTTGACGTCTCAACTGTCTGCCGTACTTCTTGGCTCGTTAGCTTCAGCTGGACGCTAGATTTATCTACATGATGCTTAAATATGTGTCTGACACATTTAAATATCCTAAATCTGACACGCTTTATTTTTCACAAACTACTCGATCCAAATACTGAAGGTCCAGATTCAAAAATATTACGTCCATAAGCTTAAATTACTGATCTGATAAGAATGAAAGATTAAGTGGAGGATGTCAGATCAGCGAGAGAGAGAGAGCGAGAGAGCGAGAGCGCGAGAGAGAGAGAGAGAGAGATATTGGAACTACAGAAACACTCCGGTTGTCCAGAGTGGAGCTTCTTCTCTCACAGAGGATCTTTGGTCGAGTTCAGACACAAACTTAATTTACTTTTGTTCCGTCGAACTAACATTAATATGCGACAGCTGATCTCTAAATAACTTCCTCACGAGCTGTTTGATCCAAACACCGAAGCTAATTTAAAGTTTAACGTGAGAAACTGAAGCGAGATCAGCTAGAGAGAGAAGACGTCTCACTCTGTGAAACACTTGCAGATGTGCGTTACGGAGCGAACCTCCTTTTACCTCATTAACGATCTCTGGCTGAATGTAAACCAGACAACAGCCAATTTTTATTTTAGCTCGTCATCAAGAAACTCACGAAACGAAAGTTATTGCGGGCGGCGTTTGTTTTAACCGGTGAAAGCGACGTCGGCGCCGGCTTAAACTGAGAAGCTGCTACGTGAATCTGTTGTACGCTGATCTTTACTGATTTGTTACCATCTGAGACTTTTCATTTTCTCAAATCAGTTTTCAGATTCAAAAAAAAAAAGCTGAATTTAATGTATAATTTCACTCCGTCAGGCCCATAAAGAAGCGTGTTATGATCGGCCGTCATCACGCCGTGGCTGGAGAGTATTTCAGTGTCCTGGTTTCTGTCAAACGCAGATCAGACTAGTAGTTGTCATAAGTGTCGGCTCTGTTTCTGTGTGAATATCTGTGTTGATGTCTCATTTTGGGAGCGGCCCACTCATCCTCAGGTCCGTCTCGGAGGCCGTTTGACTCATTGGTCCAGCGTGGGGAGTAGCGGGGGAGGGGAGGAGGAAGACGAGGGGGAGCAGCTCTCCTTCTGTCCTCCTGCCAGCGAGAAGATGGATTCCAGTCCCGCTCTGCTGGAGGATGTCTGGACCTGCTCTCCTCTGAGCGGTGGGGTCTCCTCCACTGACTGTCAGGATGAGGGGGCGTCCATCGATGCGGGGAGTAAGGGGCTCCCGTGGGAGGGTAGAAAGGAGGTGGGGGCAACAATGGCGGACTGGGAAGAATGCCGTCGTGTGGATGGTGATGGCGATGTGAGCGAGGGTTTTCTTCTCTTGGAGGGAAAGACCTGCGGGAGGGAAAACAGAGCGACAGGATGTAAGAATAATTTAGTGAGTGGGTCCACCGCTTTGGTCCAGTCTGAAACATCTCAGCAGCTGTTGGGTTGAGATGAAATGTAGACCTTCATGTTCCCCTCAGGATGAACTGTAATAACTTTATTCATCTAGCACCATCATCAGGTCAACATGTCGATGTGTCCCACACTAAGGTTTATAACCTGCAGAATCAGTGTTTCCCATTAATTAACGAGACCACGGCGGCCCGCCACAGTCTAATTTGTTCCGCCATAGTTTTAAAATAAACCGCAAATATTTTAACACATCTCATAATAACATTTCAGACCTCTAACGTTGTGTTTTGTGGGCGCTGCTGTGAGCTCGCACACTCACACACTTTGGTCTCCGACTCGAGGCGACCGCTTGGTGGTAACTATGGTAACGTTAACGGTCTGTTTCCGTCACTCGTCTGGGAGAAGGTGATTAAGCTAGCCGCGCCTAAATCTGGAATGCACACGTATTAAAGCCTTTATGGTAAATCCACTGAAACGGCCCAGAGCGAGCTGACAGGCAGGTTAGAGACTTTATCCTGTCAGTTTGTCTCTTTACAAAGACAAGTGCTGCAGAGAGTCCTGCCTGAAGAGAAGCTGTGAAGTCTTCATGTTACAACATTATTTATCACACTGGGTCGGACTGGATGAATTTAGCGCGAGGAGGAAACACATGTGACAACGTCCAGTTTTCAAAATAAGGCGTCTGTACAGGATGGAAATAAGATTAACTGGATTATATTCACAGAAAGTATAAAACATATTACATAATCTATTAAAATAAATAAAATGTTAGGGAAATTACTAATTCTATTTTCAATTTTTTTGAATTAGGGTTTTTAGAAAAACAATAAATAAATTTGTTGACTTTTGATGCTATTTCATCACCATTTATAGCTCTACAATGGGTTTATGATCAAATAGTTTATTAGAGCACAACTTTGTTTACTGTCTAGTCTCTTAAAATCCTGTGGTAAACACTGAGAACTGAACTGAAATGAAGTGTTTAAAGGGTTCTTGAAACATTTTAACAACTTTTTAAGACCTTTTACGACGTCAACACATATAATTTACCTTTTACGACGTCAACACATATAATTTAAGACCCAAAAGTGTCTATTTTGTTGATAGAAGACAGATGCGAGGAAGCTCTTATAATGAACAAAGCTGTATTTGGCAGCAGAGCCGGTATTACAGTATTTTTACCACAGGTAAATGACACAGGCTGTTTACACATTACAGCAGCTACTTGGGCGGATATATGCACCGGTCGCAGTATTGTGAAATGACATGTCTGTACAGTGTTGTACATAGACGAGCTCAAACAGCACCGATCATTGAACGTGTTTTTGGTGAACTGATTGTGTCCGTTTGTGAACAAGAACTCGTGCGATGCTGTTCTTAAACTCAATATAAACTATTAAAACAACAGAAAGGAAAACAGGGAAACAAAGCCAGGCGGGACTTTCCGGGCAGAGATGACACGGAGGTAAACAGGTTAATCAAATGTTTTACGGTGGGCCACTGTGAGCGACGATCTTCCCCACCAGCATTAAACGCACCTTCTGCAAATTTAGTACATGCAGCAAACTTAGGGGAAATTTAAGACACCTTCATTTCCCTTTATTTAATTTAAGACTTCTTAAGGAGCCGCTGGAAACCCGGGTTTACTGCTCATTAAATTCTGTTAGCATGCTAACACGCTAGTTCACTAATTCATCCCGATGTGAAGGAGTTAGATTGATAATATGGACATGAGGGTCTACTATTAAGTTGATTTGATTTTGATTTATTGTGGTTGTATTTTAAATCAGTGACTTCCTGGAGTCTTGTTGTCACCACGAGGTTGCCAGGAATTCAGACTCCCTTGCCAAGAAACTGTCACATCCGCGTTTTTGCACTTAATCGAGATATAACAGGTTAATCAGTGAGTTTTAAAGGTAGGTGCTTCTGTTCCCTTTAGATAGAGCAGGGCTGTCTTTGTGCTAAGCTACATATTTACTGTGCCATCTGGGTCATCAGTTCTTCAGGTGTTTGGTCATAAGTGATGGACATTAGGTGATTAGGCGATAGTCTAACGTGAGAAGCAGGGGCGGGGTTTAAAAACCGCGCCGTCGAATCGGACACATTCTACCTGCGTGAGCTTAAAACAACGACTGATCTCGCGGCATTTAAAAATAAAAAAATAAAAAATACTTGTTCTAACTTCGTGCAGCAGGAGAAAAGCTCCCGCGAGGTTTCAGTGTCATGTGACATGGTGAAGTTTTGCAGCGCCGGCGAAAGTCGGACAGGATTTCTAGCCAGCATGCCTTCTTTTAAGTCCAGCATGCATCACATTAAGCCAACGCCGCATGAAGTCAAACGCACCTGTTAACATGCTGACCTGATGATGGCGCTAGACGGGAAAGTCAGAGGATCAGTAAAGTTACTACAGTTCATCCTGAGGGGAACATGAAGGTCTTGGGTCAGTCAGGCTCTGACTCCCCTAAAGGCTTCTCACTATTTTAATCTTTTTATTTATTAATTACGACTGTGTGGAGGTTCAAAGGCTTTTTACCCACCAGCACAGCAGAATGAAATTCGAGCTCCTGTTCTTTTTAAACGTGCTATACAAATAAGACGGTCACATTTTTGTTTAAGCTGTCGTCTGATTGGCTGTCCCTACCTGTGGTACCAGGGGTCATTAAAGTGTGGTCGTCTCTCGTCTCTGCCGTCAGAGTCTAACGGCCGATGTGTAGCGCGGCCTCTCATTGGCTCCTGCTCAGACTCCTCCATCCCGTCGTTACTGTTTAAAAAGGTCACAAGGCGCAGACCAATAAACATCCTGCGCAGTCCAATCAATCCACAGCAGACAGTTGTGTTTTAGTATGCAATATGTCTGAAGTACCTCCTCTTCGGTCCACACCGTAGATCTTCTAGGTAGTTCTGTCTTTCTATGGCATGGCCCCGCGAGGAGTTAAACACTGAGAACAAAAGGACATTAAACTTTTCATTCAGGAACGAGCCCGACGCACCTTCAAACAGGAGACTAAAACGTCAGTACTCACACTCTACAGCCTCTTTAGGATCCATCCCATCGACATCGATCAGATACCTGCGGGTCAGACACAGCTGTTAAACACTATCCACGTTCAAACTACCACTGTGGGGTTCAAACTGCACACACCTGCAGATCAGATAGCCGGTGCGATTCAGACCGTGGGTACAGTGGACTCCGATCAGCTTGTCTGGAAAAGAAAAGGCAGTTAATGTGTGTCAGGTGCATCCGGCGTCAGATGCTGTGGCTGATTTAGTTCATCAGTCACACACAGTGTTGTACTCTCACTTCAAGGAGATATAAAAAGGAGTTCTGTGTGAAACCAGCTTCAGTAGAAACCAGGAGTTTCTCTAAATGTCTCTCTCCTGCAGCAAATAGTTCCTGTAAATAACCGACACTAATCCCTTTTTTCTGTGTGTCGACCTGAAACAAGACTTCAGCTGCTTGTGGTCTCGTGCTATTTACCAGACACATGAAGTGTTCGGGGTACAGCGGCTGAAAAAAGGTGTAAAATGTGATAAAGCTGTTGCTCCTCTAGAAAGTTACTTATTGTAAAAACATGTTTCCTTAATAGAGCTGTTGTTTTTGTTATATCAGCACAGCGAGCTCTCTCCTCTGCTGCTTTATCTTTTGATTGATGCATCGTTTTGTGAGAATTATTAACTGTAAAGTACTTTAAAGCAGCCCCTGTATCCGGTTCCTACAGGCAGACTGCATGTAGCCAGAAAGACCAAACTGAGGGCAAAAAAGCCTTCTAGACTCTGCTCGTTAAGCTTTTTGCTCACGATGCGATCGAAGGGAACGCAGGCGAGTGTTTCACATTAACGGGACTCCAGGCAAACGCCGTCATTAAGCCGTCGCTCTGCAGTTACACCGCCAGGTTGGCGGAGGGGTTCCACTGATGCTGAGTTTCTTCTTCTTCGTTGGTGCAGGCTACCACAAACGGTGGCCACTGAAACTGAGCGGATCACGTTGGAGGTATGGCTGGAAATGCGTAGGAGAAAATGTGATGCCACAAAGACGACCAATCACAGTTCTTGCGGCCTGCGTCACAGTTTTCGGGGAGCCAGGATAGATTTGATGCTGAAGTATAAATTGCCCTTAGGCTTAGAGAGAGAGAGAGGGGGCGTGTCCTCCCCACTGCGAGTGGAAATAACACCTTTAAATAACCGAATAACGGCCTCGTTCTAGCAGCAGCGTTTCTCACCGTTATCTGCGTTGTCTCGTAGAAACTTGCGTACGACACGTTTGAAGCGGAGGATCGTATCGTCGCTGGGAACCTCATGACCAGCTGTGAAGATCTTCACAAACAGCAGCGACTCCGGTAAGTCCTGCACACAGGAAACAGAGTTTATATCACTTTAAATATGATGTAATATAATAAAATGTGTGTGTGTGTGTGTTTACCTGTAGGTTGTAGTAGCGCGTGGTGAAGGTCAGGTCAACGATCAAACCCAGGTCTAAGTTTTCTTTGTTCAAAGTGTCCCGCAGCTCCCAGGGACCAAAGACATCAGAACACGGGAGCTGGCGGTTCAAAGACTAGAGAAAGCACACCGATGGTCATCAGCAGCTGTAAACTCGCTGCTCACTCACAAACACGACTGCAAAAGAAAGATTTAAACAATTAAACTTCCTGTTACCTGTTTCAGCGGCACTTTGAAGGCAATGAAACGCGTCCCGTGAAGTCTTTTCCCAACAGCTTTGTAGTCCAGCCACCTGTAGGGAAGGAAAAACAAAACAACCAGTGAGCCTCACTTGTTCCTTCATCCCCGTAAACACGCTGTAGTTTATTCTGACTCACAAATACTCACTAGAGCACACGTGGATTCATCCGCCGCTGAAAATAGTCCCCAAAAGATGCTCTAATTCCTGCTGTTTGTCTGATAGAAACTACAGCGAGCAGCTGTTTGAGGCGCCTTTTTAAACATTTTATCTGTGAGGACTTTTTAAAAGATTTTACGTCTTCAGGTGAAAGAGGAGCTGTTTGGTTTCTGGAAGAGCAAACCAAGACAGGCCAATCACTGGTTTTAGCTGACAGATCTGTAGGTACGGTGGATCAGCAACATCCAGTGCTGGGGTATTTGTGTTTATTTTTACACATTAAAATGTCCCAAACACAAATCTTCATCACAAGTGTTTATGTGTCGATGTTAAATAAATTTTGATAGGGTATCAGTATCGATTGAGCTCTCCAGTTTCCGGGGCCTTTCAACAATGTGGTCAGACAACAAAATACAACAGCAACAGGATGAAATGCTGAAAATAACATCCTCGTCATTTAATGGTTATTTAACTACTTTAAAAAGGGTGAAACAGTCAGTTTAATGCCTCCTCTACATTTTCCCAGTCTGAATATTAAACTTCAGACCAACTATCAGCCTGGAGATACAGAGGAGTTTAGTGCTTAGCTCTACAAAATGAAAGTTAGCTCAACATTACAGATGAGAGGTGTGGCTTTGTGTTGCTCACCTGTCCGGTATCCCGTTTTTCTTCTGGTATCGAGACATTTCCAACTTGTTCCTCTACCGTAGCCCGTTTTTACCAGAACTACCCTGAAAAGAGCTGAAAGTTACCACGTGTAGCTTCAGCCCGCAGCTAGCATGCTTCTAGGTTCAAACTGGTGTTTCTGTGATCGGCTGCTTCTCTGTAAACTCCGGCCGGACGCACAGAAAGAGTCTCTGAATCTTTCAGCAAACTATCTGAGCGCCGGTTTCCATGTTGATCAGGACTGAAGACAGTCAGTCTGCTGCTGCTGTTGCTGCTGCTGCACACCGGCTGTCTGCGGAGCACAGCCGGCTGCAGTCGCGTGCGGATGACGCAACCACACCAGTGGACGTCACGTGAATCCCCCCCCCCGCTTCGTTTAGCCACGTGATAGAAAAATCCACTAGATGTCGCAACAACAACAACAACAATAATAATCTTTATTTTCTAAAAACATGTTACAAAGTGTTTCACAAGTGCAAAGACAATAAAATGCGTATAAAATAGATAATAAGACAGAAGGTGAAAACAAGACAACAGTTAAAATAAAGTTTAAAAAAATGCGAAATAATTGCTGCAAAATATGTCTGACAACCAGTGGAACCTCAGACTGACAAATAATTGTACAGATTTTCAAATTATTATTATTTTGATCGTTTGATATTTTAGTAATTGTTTTGTTTTTACATTTGATACTGATTTCTTTATTTTTTTGTCTATTAATATAAACACACACATACGTTACTGTTTCATTTATTTATTTTATTTTTATTTTTTATGTATATTTTTTAACACACACACTTACCGTTTTATTTATTTATTTTATTTTAATTTTTATATATATTTTTTAACACATACACACACACGCTTACTATTTTATTTATTTATAATATTTTTGTATTTTTTAACACACACTGACACACGCTTACTGTTTTGTTTATTTATTTTATTTTTAATATATTTTTATTTTTTAACACACACAAACACACACACAAACACACACGCTTACTATTTTATTTATTTATTTTATTTATAATATTTTTGTATTTTTTAACACACACTGACACACGCTTACTGTTTTGTTTATTTATTTTATTTTTAATATATTTTTATTTTTTAACACACACAAACACACACACAAACACACATGCTTACTATTTTATTTATTTATTTTATTTATAATATTTTTGTATTTTTTAACACACACTGACACACGCTTACTGTTTTCTTTATTTATTTTATTTTAATATATTTTTATTTTTTAACACAAACACACAAACACACACGCTTACTATTTTATTTATTTATCTTATTTATAATATTTTTGTATTTTTTAACACACACCGACACACGCTTACTGTTTTGTTTATTTATTTTATTTTTAATATATTTTTTATAACACACACACGCTTACTGTTTTATTTATTTATTTTATTTTAACTTTTAATATTTCTTTTTTTTTAAACACAAACACACATACACTTTGATTACTTTACGCTTTAATTGTTTAATGAAATGTATGGGGCTGATTGTTCTTATGTTGTGTATATATGATGCTTTGGCAATGTTGTTATTACATTCATGCCAATAAACGTAATTTAATAATAACAGCAAACGCTTTGTCCCCTTTGGTTTTCAGTCGAGAGTCTGGAACAAACAAAAGACCTCCGCCCGAGGATCTCAAGGTACGAGCTGGTGCATATGGGACTAAAAGGAGATACAGCAGGGCTTTAAAAGTAATTAAAGTCGATTCTAAAATATAGTGGGAGCCAGTGTGTGAGATCATATTTCTTTGTTCTGGTTAAAAGGCGAGATGACAAATTCAACTGTACTCTAATCACAATGAAACTTTACAAGCTTCAACAGAAATAGAAGCTTTTATTTAATTACAATTTTTCTGTTTAAAAAAGATTTGCATATCATGTAAATCCACTTTCCAACACATTAATAAGAGCAGGTGGATTTTTTTGGGGGGGGTTATTGTGATACTATACCAAATGGCCAGACATTTACAAAACAGTTTATCAAAAGATATTAATTTTATATATTTATTCAGATTCCCCACATATTCAGAGAAAAAAAAATCCCACACAAAATGAGAATGATAAAAGATTTTTTTAAAAACCTCAGTTAATTTCTTGATATAAGACCTCAGAAACAGTAAAATTCTGATGATCTAACTGCTTTGTTGGGCGAGGGAAATTACTGGGTTTACAGGAAACATGTTGATTTGAGAAAACAGCTGTTAAAGATTAGCTAACCCTCCAGAAAAACACTTCCCATCATTAAAATGACACATGGACACACCTCTGATGGAAGACATCTGAACTGTGCTCTAGAAAACAAACCTTCGTGACATGGACTCAGTCAGCGTCTCTAATGACTTATTTTGAGCACATCAGAAACTCACAGGTGTGATTGACAGGTTTGATTATGGAGCATGCAAAAGTTCCTGCGTTTAAAGATGCAAATTAAATTAAAGTAGACAAAACAGAAAGACGAATGATTCACAAACCAGAAGTGGAAAATTACTGATGTTTTTCTTCACTGCAACCGGTGGGACTTGATTAGTGACGTTGCTTTTCTTGGCAGGGAAGGTTAAATACAAATCACTAGACTGGACTTCTGATTGAACAAAGCTGCGGCTAACTGATTAAGATTCAGCCTTCTGGCAATCTGCAAACATAGAGTCGAGAAAGTTCTTCACACAATTAAAATAAGAGAACAATAAAACTAAAACCTGATACATAATGCACAACAACAAGGACATAAAATCAATGCATACATGAACAATTTATTAAGATGCTGGAGGGACTTAAACAAAACGATAAAACCCTTCAAACAGATCAAAGCCAGACTAAATGTTGTTACCAGCTGGATGAGATTTAGCAAATTTTACTACTAATTATGGAAATCTGTTGAATTAAATATGATTCTCTAAACTCCATCTGTTTTAATTACTTCGGATTGTCACCTGCTGGCTGAATTTTGTGTTTCTCTTTAAAGAAATAAAAATATTCCCACCATAAATTGATGCCTAAAAGGTGTTTAATCCCAAACTTTTCTAGGTAGGACCCCGACTTAATGTGTGTCGCCTCCATTGGTGAAGCAAAACCCACGTGCTTTCATTTCAACAACAAAATAACTCTCACATTTTTGATACTTTGAGCACATTTTGTTGAAACACTTCTGCACTTTTGAATTCAGGACTTTTACTTCTAATTGATTCTTTTTAAACTATGATATTTCTGCTTTTACTCAAGTAAAGGATTTGAGCACTTCTTCCACGAATGGCGTGGACTTCAAAAGACTTTAAACTGAAAGTAAATTGTTGACCTTTAAACAGAAGTCGCGCCACGAGATGTCACGCAGCTGATGGAGTTTGCCCTGTTACATTTCCACACTTCAAAAGCTGATCATAAAAACTTTAAAATTAAGTTTAAACTGTGAGGTTAAAGGAGAACTCCATTGTTTTCCACATCTGCGAGGGTTTCCAGGTGTTGGGGAGTTCTGTGAAAGGTAGAGTTTAAAGCCTTCATTGTCTCCGGAGGGAGACTGAGCTCTAGTGCTGCTGCATTTACTGAACTTTCAGCCTTAACTTCCAACATGGATCAAACTCCACCTGCTGAAGATGACCACGTGCTTTTGATCTCAGAGATTACCTGATACTGAAGGATACTGATTAAACACTGTGGTGAGACCAGGTTCCTCCCACTGGAAGCCTCCTGAAACTGATCAAGACCACAGTAGACCAGCACTGATTCATCTGGAAAAGCAAACACCTGAAGGGCAACACACCTGAGAGAGTTATGTAACACCATCCTGCATCAGCCTGCAGAGGAAAGTCCATATGTGGTGAGACGGGTGTGACTGGAGGTACGGCTACAACTTTACAGCTGTGCTAGCAGTGACTCCAGGGACACAAAGTTAGAGAGAGACATAACGGACGCCTGCATCAGACCTTCCACGGATACAGGAAGAAGCAGCTTGATACGTTGAGGTGTTTGGAGAGCTATGCTGCAGCGGAGAGGCCTGCTGGATGGCAGAGGGGAGTGTAACAGGGCAGTGTTGGTGTCTGTGGCAGAGTTTGACCCCGGGGTGAGGCTGGGGAGGAGGCCTGGAGCCGAGAGGGACGCCAAGAGGCTCCACCGGACCCTCAGCAAACTGGGCTTCGAGGTGGACATCCACGCTGACCTCGGCGGAGACGAAATCTACGAGTTGTTTCTGAAAGGTGAGGCACACTCCCATTCAGTTTCTATGGTTTATTAGGATACAAATCTGCCTTTACACATCAGTATACAGATTAAATACCCACATAGGAACACGGACTATCCATTACTGTGCAGAGTACACATGCTTTTACTTTATTTAAACATTTATTGGAACTGTCTGATTAAAGCATTTAGATTTCAGATTTATAATCCTTTCTTTTCTGGTGCCACTGATCTTCTTATGCTTTCAGAACGACAAACACATTACGAAACTGCTTCTGTGTATTTACAACCTGGACACACACCCAGATATCAATCAGACTGAAAGTTCACGCGGTGTTTTAGCTGCTTATCACTAATAGATAACGTGATCATTAGGTCGTGTAATCATGTTCCTGTGCAGGCATTTGTTAGAAACTAATAGAACAGGACTGTCTCAGTTAATGTTAACAAAGACAAGAGTCGTGGCACAGAGCCTGAGCCTGATGTTCTGCACGTGCATGCCTGACCTGACACGTACCTCATACCATTCCACGTTTAGTCACGTCTCGACAGTCAATAATGGGCGAGCGAAGTGTGTAATTGATGAGCATGTGTCATGTCGTGTGTTTGTGCTGCAGAGAGCCGGCGGCCTGTGAAGGACTGTTTCCTGGGCGTCTTGTCGTCTCACGGGGAGGAGGGCTGCGTGTTCGGAGCTGACGGGAAAGCCGTCCAACTCGCTCGTGTCTTCAGATATTTTGACAGCGAATGTATGGAGAAAAAGGCCAAAGTGTTCCTCATACAGGTGTTCAGGTTCATAAGGTTTCAGCTCACAGTCTTCTGTACACATTTCATCTGACCTCAACTGAAAAGTTGAATTAAAGAAAAGTTGTATATTGTCATGATCTCAGTCTTACATGAGGTCAGTTTGGGTCACCCTGAGGTCACAAAACCATGCTTGTACTTCAGGATCTCTGTAACTGAGGACTTGTTGCTGTCTCTGCAGGCGTGTCGGGGAGACGGTCTGGATGACGGGGTGGAGGTGGATTCAGCTGGAGACACCGCAGAGTGCAGCTTCTCAGAGTATCTCTCTGTTCCTGTAGATACAGCTGTGATGTACGCCACAGCACCGGGTAAACCCAAGTCCATCCACCAGTTAGAGTCTCTGTGAAACTAATATACCTGCTTGATGACGGCTAACACACTAGCCGGGAACATGTCAGCACTAGTCAGTCAGAATAGCTCTCTAACATCTCTGGCAGTTTGTTCTCCGTTTCATTTCACTGAATAAAGTGTTAAATGTACAGGTGATAAAATTATCTAAGCTTGCAACCCCTTATTTGCTTAGCCGCTAACAGGACAAAAACACCTTGTTGTGCGATCGACTTTCATTTACTCTTTTTTCCCCAAAGCGATTTACATTTGAGGAACAACATACAAGTTAAGCGTCAATACAGCACGAGATCTACAACTGACAGTACATACTAGTAAGTGTAAGGACCAGATTTGTGAAATGAAAACCGGGGACAGTTTTGGTTTGGTGGTCAGTTGGCCATGTCATTAAAAAATCTAATGATATTATATATGAAATAAAGAAGGGGGAAAGTTTATATAATCTGTTATATATAGCCCTCGTGAATATAATCATGTCATTTCAGGGCAGAAATATCCTTTCAGTCAATAAGTAGAGGCTACAAAAAACTTTCTGGCAAGGAAAATACTGCATTTTATGTGTTTTTTTCTGTCCATTTAAAGGTATTTTAATCTTAGTCTTTCTGGCTAACACCTTAAACAGTCTATGATTAACACACTGTTAAAAACGGGGACAGCTCCAGACGGGGATATCTGGCCTACGTCTGCAATAAATACTAGCAAGAGCTCATAGCACATATCGCATCACTGGGGTAAATACCTCAGGAAAGAAGTAGGAGTTAATCAATACAAGAGAATTGTAGGGGATAGAAGAAGAAGAGCACAGGAAGTGCATGTTAGAGGTTAGAGGTCTGTCACATAACAGCAGCAAACAGCCTCTTTTGTTGAGCAGTTTGTACTCTGAAAAGTAAAATAAATGCTGATGTTATTATCAGCGCGATTATTTAAAAAGCTAAGATGCTTCCTATTAGTTTTTTTTTTTTTGTTACTACATTATTATTTAGTTTAAATAAATTGATTTTGTGACCTTTTGCTGTTTTAAACACGGGTGTAACCAGCGGGATCAGAAAACTAGACAAGACCAGTTATAATCCATTATTCCTCTCCAGCTGCTTCGATAATGCCCAACCTGAATGGCTAGATTTACTATTTGAAACATGCCTTTGTGTGATTTATCTGAGAAAAGAGAAACAGTTTAAATAATCCGAAAATAAGGATTTAAAATATCAACCCAATGCTTGGATCCATGGTCTAGGGAACAGGGGCGCCATCCGGAGGGGGGGGGGGGGGGGGGCACGTCCACCCTGATAAAATTGGTGCCCCCCCCCACCCGTACCAAGGTGCATATGCATAAAGTGCTATGCTGTTTATATTATATATAAATTTCTAGTGGCCCCATCTGGCCACCCACATGAACATTTCTTGGGCCCACTGCTTGGAAAATCAAAAGTATTTTACACATATTCATATATTTAGGGACTGCAGATATGAATTAGCTTGAAGCAACAATCCAATGGTAATGTTTTATACGCTGACGCTTTTAAATAAATGCATGTATGGATGATGGTTTGAGCTTCTTTCCTCCGTCCTCTCCTCAGGTTACGCAGCTTTCATGCACCAGCTGAGTGGATCCGTCTTCCTCCAGACTTTCTGCACTTTGTTAGAGGAGGAGGGCAATCGCAACCTGGAGCTGACCCGCCTCATGACCCGCCTCGCCCACAGTGTGGCCTACACCTTCCAGGCCAAAGGCCGCGTCCTGGGTGGGAAGAAGGAGATGCCGTGCCTCCTGACCCGACTGACCCGGGAAGTGTTCCCGTTCGCTGAGCCGGGGAAAGACGGCGCCTGTACGTGACTGAACGGATGAATCACCAGGACATGCAGATCGATGAGAGAAGACAAGCTACCAGACTCTGTGAGCAACTGATGTCTGCGGATGGTTTTAGAGAAGAAGAACTGAGAAACCTTATATTTTCTCTTGAAGCTCCAAAGACGTCAAGGAAATGTCTCCTGAAATATTCAATTTAAATGTAAAGCTTTATTTAATACACAGGTGTAAGGAGTAGGAGGAGGCGTATATTCGGAAACTAACAATAAAGAACGAATATATTGTTTTAACTTGAGTAAAGTAAAAGTAAAATATGTCGTACACCACTCTGTTTTATAAAAAGACATCATTTTGAATTTAAACAGTAACATTTACAGTAAATGAGTAAATGTAATGTAAAAGAAAATAGTTTTTAACTAAGCTATCAGGACACTAAACGCATTAAAGTCCGTACTTGTGACTGTAGGCTGCTTTTTTACTTCCTTTTTCATTGTCTGTGTGACGTATTCCTGTCCAATAGCAGAATAGTAACAGCTACTTTGTGCCACGTTTGTTTTATATGTGACCTGCCAAGGGACTGCAGATGAAAAATGATCTGGTAAAATACATGACATGGTAACGTTTATGTTTAATATTTTAAATCCTTCATTTATAATTGAGATGAATAGAGAAAATCCATTTGTTTTGTTTTGTGCTTGATGATCACATTTTATAAAAACAAGCATTATAGAACAAAAAACAGAGACACAGAAATAAACTTAAAACTGGGTTCAGGAAGCAACCAACATTTCCAAATTTAATTCCATATTTATTTTGTGAGAAGGCTTATAATTAGGGCTAGGGTATTTTATGAATTTTAATTGTGTATTTTATTTATTTTATTTTATTGTATTTTTATAATTGTGTATTTTAATGTGTGTTTCTTATGTGTTTTTTATCCAATTCTGCAAACTATATGTGTCTCTGTTTTCTGTAAAGTGTACTGGGACCACACAGCTGGTGATTTTACACTTTAAATAAATTTGATTTGACTCTAATGGAACTATACAGATCTTTTCTCGTTTCTATTAAACAGGTATTAGTCAAACGTTTCAGTAAAAAGGGAAACAAGAACACGGGGCTTTTTGAAATAGATTGTTGTTTTATTTTTGAGAGCAGATTAATATTGACACCATATACGCAAAACAACCAGGGTGAATGGAAAAATAGAAAGAACAGGACATTAAGAGAGTAAAGTAGATTCAAAATAATGTTTCATTGGTCCATGAGAATTTTAATGAAAGACATAATTTGCCTTCTTATTTTTAATGTCTTTGATCGAAGTGTCCAAAATGTGGTTTGGAGTGTGGAAAATATTTTTTATCTTTTTATCTCTGCTCATTCTTCAATGTATTTATCCTGAAGTTGAATTGTTTGCCCAGTTTTTTCTTATCATATAATGTTGAACCTTCAACCAAAATATTCCACTGTACATACAGTGGAAAACAAAAACAACTTCCTCCTGTAGTTCACAGAAAGTGTAAGGATATTCAATATAACTTCTAAATCTCTGTAATGTCTTTTTCACTGGATGTATTCAAATAAAGATTTTGAAGGAATTCACTTTGTTAAGATAATAATAAATAATAGGCAGGTTTTCTGCCGATTAATTTCTCCGTGAAGTGAAACCCATAGGAATAATCCCCGAGTTCACTGAGCTTGATATATTTATTTATTTTTAATCTTTATAGCAAAAAGAGGAATACAGCTTACATGTGGCATAGAAAGGTACTATAACAGTATACAAATACATAAAATAAAATATTTGCCGGGGGTAGCCTATATTACATAAAGATATTAAAAGGGGACCCTATGTTGACAGTCGTCACAACCTTTCTGTCGTTGAATTTAGAAATTAAATTGACAGGATGTACAACCTCATAGAGAAAAAGACAAGCTGGTAGAATTTATATTTATGAATGTGGAGTTTTGCCATCATTTTCTTTACTTTGACTTTTAGAAAAGCTCCCACATTAATGTAAAATCTCTATAAATATGTTCAGTGTTTAATGTGCTGCCAAAATAAAACTGTTTCTGGGTGCTCGGTTTGTATCGATGTCTCTTTTAGATTTAACCATGTTGTGATTAACAGAGTAATGAGCAGGTGGATATTCTGGCCAAAGGAACACTCAAAATCAAACATGTAGACCTAAAAACCCCATTAACTAGAGATGAAGCTAAGACATTTATCAGGACCTATGCACAGTCAGTTTGGCAGGAGCATTGGGACAATAGTGAAACTGGAAGGCACCTATATAATGTACAGAGACAGGTTGGTGCCGGAAGGATGGTGGGCTGGAAACGTAGGGAAGAAAATATAATCACTCGTCTGAGAATAGGACATACAGGTCTCAACTTTTCATTATATAAAATAGGTAAGCACCCAACTGGGAAATGTATATATTGTAACCAACTAGAAAAGGTTGAACATGTTCTCCTTCAGTGTAGGAGATACACTATCAAGAGGAAGCGCCTCTTTCAGTCATTACGGAAGGCAAAACATCATGATATCTCATTGGCGGGTCTCTTGGGGAAAACAGCAGGCCAGATATATTGTCATATAATTAAGTTTCTTAAAGAAACTGAGTTAGAAAAAATAATTTAATTTCTGTTTGTTTTTGTTTTTTTTGGGGGGGGGGGGGGGTTGTTTTGTTTTTGTTTTTGTTTTTGTTTTTGTTTATTTCATTTATTTCCTGCTTAATCTCTCGTTCCACACTCCAGTCCAGCTTGTGGCGGTAATGCACCGTTAAACTGGTTTGCCAACCGCCATTAAACCCTAAAGAAGAAGAAGAAGAAGAAGAGTAATATCTGTGAATTATTCTAACCAACATGAAGAATAAATGAAGAATCATCCAAACACGGAGCTTGAGCGGAGGGACGTGAAGGCAACGTGACGTAATCTCCTGCGACGCACGTGTGAGCAGTGTGGTGAGGGCAGAGAGAGAGAAATGGCAGCTGAGAGGCTTCAGTTTCATGAAATGGGCTTAGACGACCGTCTTTTAAAGGTAACAACGTGTTCGTGTCATTAAATGTGAAGTAAAGAGGCTGAACGAGCGGCTGGAGGACAGAAACTGCGGCTGCGCAGCAACACGTCAGCGGGCAAGAAAACAGAAGAAACACGTGAAGCTTTCTTTAATTTAGCTGTTTGCATCCGGAGAAGTTCGCCTCCGTCTCTGCGTGACTGTCCAGCTGCTGCCTTGATAAAACCTCTCCGGCCTCGTGAAGATCAGCGTGACTTCCTGCGGAGGTTTTACTCCTCGGTGTGAACAGACGCGGTTCCAACACAGAATTTAGCTTCCTGACAGCACAAACTAGTGGAGACTTGCAGGGACGGTGTATTTTCCAGGTGTCCACCACATGTAACGTCATCGTTTGTTTGGGGACGTGCGCCACAGGGGCTGCACGCTTCATTGAAATATTATCGAAATCTCAAAAGTTAAATATCCAAAAATCACTGAAGCTGCTTTTTTCTGTGGAAGTAAAAATGTGTGAATTAAGATGCTGTAGAGATGCAGAGACTCTCCTGCCTACAAATTCTGTTCTCCACAAAACGTTTGTTTGGTAAAGGAGACCCAAACAAATGCTGTCACTCATGATTGCAACAGCAGATGATGTTTTTCTTTTTACCTTATCACGCAGCCAGATGTACCAAAGAATAACATCATATAAGTTTGACATTGTAACATGATTTTGTGGCCCTGTGTTGTTGAGGGGCCTCCTGTTTATGTTGTGTTTACTGTCTGATGGGGAGTCAACTCGTTTATCCACATGTAGAGTTATTGCGTTACTACTGTCGCACAACCGAGTACAGTTGTGCTGTTGAACAAGATCCTGATCCTGCAGAAGAGAAAATAAAAACCGGGTTATTAAATGTCTGAGCCGGAGTCGTTAGTTTCACCTCTTCTCTTTCTCTCTCAGCCGTGCTCTGCTCTCTGAAATCAGTCCTTGTGGTTCTGTTTCAGGCGGTTGCAGATCTGGGTTGGTCCCAGCCCACTCTGATCCAGGAGAAGGCCGTCCCTCTGGCCCTGGAGGGGAAAGACCTGCTGGCTCGAGCCCGGACCGGCTCCGGAAAGACTGCAGCTTATGCCATACCTGTGATCCAGCGCGTCCTGGCCTCCAAACAGGTGAGGGGGAAAAACAGAAGTGACGTTTAATGATGTTTAATTTAACCCATCTGATCAAATATCTGTAGACAAGCTGCTTTTCTCATACTGGAGGAAATATTTTGGACATCTGGAGCTGCGACTGATCATTCTGTTCTTTGTGGATTATTTTCTGTAGTAATCAGTAAGTTGTTTGGTCCAAGAAGTCAAGAAGACGTCCTCAAATGTCGTGTTTTGTCCAGAACACAAAGAGAATATATGAATGAAAATATTCACAGTTAAGAAGCTGGAAACTGAAGAATTCTGACTTTTTTTCCCTTTAAAAAATGACTCAAATCTATTATTAAAATAGTTGGTGATTAACTTAAGAGTTTCTAATAATCAGTTAATCGTTCTGTAGAAACATCTCTGCCTGTTTGCATCTCTAAATACTCGCGTGGCTCTTAAACATCATATTCTGTCGGTCTGTTTGTTGCCAGTCAGCCACGTTAAGCTCAGCTTTACGAGTGTTCAATGAAATCCGTCATAGAAAGTTACAAGTAGAGGTCGACTGATGCCGATGTTTAGAGAGCAGGGCGGCTGATCTACAACGCCGACATCAAAACAAAGAAAAGTCCCGTATAATTCATTATTCCTGCAGAGTACAATCTAATATTCATGTTATCTCAGCCAGTAACGTTGTTGTTTTAGATCTGGTCTTATTAATCAATGAAATGCAAACATACTTTGGGTTCTGCTGTAGATTTCAGAGCGTGGCTGGTGTTTAAGGGAGAGCGAGGTGCGCTTCATTCAGCTGCGTTATTTTCAGTCGCGGGATAAAGTAGCTGAAGCCTTTTGGAATTACCAGGATTTCTGCATGAATTGGTAATAAAATGTGATCTGATCTTCATCTAAATCACAACAACAGACAAACACAGTCTGCTTAAACTAATACCACGCAAACATTCACAGTGCAGGGTGGAACCTTGGATTCCTGCACATCAGACCTGAACATCATTCAGGAATGTTCTTCTGCTCTCTTGAGGTCAGGACTCTGACTCCAGAAGGTGGATTTTCTGTTGTTGATGTATTTCTGTGCTTTGGGTCGTTGTCCTGATACTGAGTCGTTTTCTGCTTCATTTGGCAGACAGATGGCCTTAACATTCTCCTACAAACTTTCTTGATAAACTTTGGAATTCATATTTCCGTCGATGATAGTAACTCTTCCATTTTATTTAATTTACGTAGAAATCCTGGTGATTCCGAAGGGTTCACGTTAGGGATGCACAGATTGTTCGGCCACCGAAATTAATCGTCCGAAAATGGCAAAATAGCACTTTCGGTGTTCGGCCTAAGGAGTCAAAAGGTTAAATTTTACCGAACAATTACGTTGACATGTCGGTAGGGCTGGACGATATGGACAAAAATGTTATCACGATAAAAAGTTTCATATCTTTCGATATTTATCACGATAAGCATCAAATCGTTATTTCTTTTGCGTTTAACGGCTGATTTTTGCTCCTGAGTGAAAGTTGAAGAAACCTGATGGTTATTGTGGTTTTAAACTATTTTTTTTTTTTTTTTTTTTTTTTATCGTCATCACTTGAGGCCAAACAGTGGATCACTTCACAAATCTGAGGTAGAACATTCAAAACAATTAAGATAAAATCTTTTTCAACAAACATGCACGAGTTAAATTAATCTTTTTTCAGTCCTAACAAAATAAACATCTTAATAAAAAAAACTAAGTCCTAATTTATGTATGATTCAAGTGAATAAAATCAAACATTGAACATTTTTTTTATATTGTTATTGGAAAAAAATATATTGCGATAATTATTGTTATTGTTTTATTGTGCAGCCCTACATGTCGGCAGTGTGGAAGCATTTTAAAGTGTCAGAGAAAGACGCAAAAATGGCCGTTTGCAGACGCTGTTCTGCTTAACTGTCTCCGAGCACATCCACTCCATCTGCGGCTGACTTCTTAGAAAAGGCAACAGTCTGACCCGCTTTGAGTCTTTCTGTCACTCCTCTGTGAGAAGGCGATTAAGCTAGCCGCACCTAAATCTGGAGTGCACACGTATTAAAGCCTTTACGGTAAATCTACTGAAGCGGCCCAGAGCGAGCTGACGGGCAGGTTAGAGACTTTATCCTGTCAGTTTGTCTCTTTACAAAGACAAGTGCTGCAGTATGAGAGTCCTGCCTGAAGAGAGGCTGTGAAGAACCACATACAACATGTGACAACGTCCGGTTTTCAAAATAAGGCGTCTATACAGGATGGAAATAAGATTAATTGGATTATATTCACAGAAAGTATAAAACATATTACATGTGGCCATTAAAAGTAAATGGACACATGTAATTTACTTCAGCGGACCCTCTGGGGCCCCGGACCCCCCCCCGACTATAGTCTCTCCACAAGAAAAAAGCACATTATGATTATTTAATTCATGCAATGGTGGGAAAAAAAGGCAAAATAAGTGGAATAAATGTGAATGTACTTGTTCTGTAGTCGGCAATTTTTTCATTATATTCAGTTTCGCTTCGGCCAGAGCTCACCACACCGACACGAATAGGATTCACATTATTAATTGACCTCACACAAGTGAAAACAATTCCATTTATTTATTTTTATTTATATGTCAGAAGTTATCTCGTTACATGTCATGTGACCCACGTCTTCCTTTTTGTCGTTACCTTCAGAGCGTTCGTGAGCAGGACGTGAGAGCTCTGATCCTGGTACCAACCAAGGAGCTGGGTCAGCAGGTTCAGACCATGATCAGACAGTTGACGGCGTACTGCTCCAGGGACGTCCGGGTGGCCGACATCTCCGGGAAAGCGGACCTGTCTGCGCAGAGGTCGGTCCGCTCGGGGATGCTCGTCCACATTTCATATACAACGAACTAAAAACCAGATCTCCTGGAGCGCCGTGATCACTGTGTGGTTTTCTGTTGTGTTTGGAACAGGCCCATCTTAATGGAGAAGCCTGACGTGGTCGTGGGGACGCCGTCCCGTGCGCTCGCCCACCTCAACGCCCAGAACCTGGTCCTGCATTCGTCCCTGGAGACGCTGGTCGTAGATGAGGCCGACCTGCTCTTCTCCTTTGGCTTCGAGGCGGACCTGAAGAACTTGTTGTGGTGAGAACAGGCGAGCAGGGACAGACGTGTGTTTACTGTGTCGACCACGTGGATATGAGAAAACTTTCTGTTTGAAGGATCTTCAAAAGCCTGAAGGGGAGAAAATATTTCATTAGAAAATGCAAACGATGAGTGAAAAGTCGTTCCCCTCAGATCGATCTCTGCTCCTGACCCCCAGGTTTAGTATCTGGGTTAGTTTCTTTTTAACATATGGCTGTCGAATCATAGGCCTAGTTATTTATTTATATGTTCAGAAATGCCAGAGTGCCTTGTTCTTGCTGCACAACCAGAGTCCGTAACATTTTAGTATTTTATGTATTTTGGTCTTGTATCTGTGTTTGTCCTGTGTCTATAGGCGCGTTTCACTTCATGCTGCGCAGCGCTGACGTAAGTAACTTTTGCCCGCGCTGCAAAACGTCACCACGTCAGGTGACATGAAACCTTACGGGAGCAAGACGGCCGCACTTGCTTTTCTCCAGCTGCAGAAGTTGGAACCACACTAATTCCGCTGCATTTTTCTGTGAGATTAGAGTTGGGCCGTGGTTGTGATTGTAACTCCCCCCTCAAATTTTCACATTCACAAACCTGTGAGAGCAGGTTTTAGTGCAGCAGGTGAGCCGCACGTCGGCAGATCTTCTCAAAATCCTGTCTGTTCCTCAAACAGCTGCTCGCTGTAGTTTCTATTAGACAAACAGGAGGAAATAGTGCATTTGTTGGGGACTATTTTCGTGGAGTATTTGGTTTATCTGGGACTGAGTCAGAATAACAATGAAGCTCTAAGACTCAGAGGGAGAAGAGACATCACACACAGGACTTGTTAGGAGATAGATTCAGGTTTTCCACGTATTGTAAACGCCTGTCTTTTCTCTTCAAAAGTACCTGTCCTGTTGTGTTTCAGTCACCTGCCGAAGATCTACCAGTCGTTCCTGATGTCTGCGACTCTCACTGAGGATGTTCAGGCCTTAAAGGAGCTGCTGCTACACAACCCTGTAATGCCACTCTCAAATTCAGTCTCAGAAAGGTTGTCTGTGTGTTACAAAGTCTCTGCTTCAGAAGAAACAGCTGCACGGTGTAGGGTTTGGTCTTCATACGTGGATCTGTGCCCTCCCAGGTGATCCTGAAGCTCCAGGGCTCTCAGCTCCCCGACAGCAGCCAGCTGCAGCAGTACAGCATTAAATGCGAGGAGGAGGACAAGTTCCTGCTCATCTACACGCTGCTGAGGCTGCGGCTGGTTCAGGGCAAGACGCTGGTGTTCGTGGGAGCGGTGGAGCGATGCTACAGACTCAAACTGTTCCTGGAACAGTTTGGGATTCCTGCCTGCGTGCTGAACTCGGAGCTGCCCGTCCAGTCCAGGTGAGAGTCTTTTTACAGAGGAAACTCTCTTTCTTCCACTAGGTCGTCTAACAGCTGATGGTGAGCTGCTTTTACATTTCCAGGCCTTTCCTCTGTGCATGTACTTGTTTCTATGGTGAAGACTCACAAAGAGAAGCAGCTTCAAGTCTGCAGTTTCACTAAATAGTAGATGATTTATTTTAGTTTTTTGGTCTCTTATTTGTCCTCATCACGTCCAGCACAGGTTATGTAAATGCATTCAGTCAAGGCCAGTTTATACTTATGCACAAAGTCTTCGCTGTAGCCGCCGTTGTGAGCGTTTATGCTTCTGAGTTGGTGTCTGCGTCGCTCTGCAGCTACACCTCCACAACACTAGTGGGCTGTGGGGTTTCTATGTTCCACTGTGTTTGCATTTCTTCTTTGTTGGTGTAGGCTGCTACAAACAGTAGGTGCGTTTGAGATGACTTGATAGTCTAACATGAGCTGCAGGCGGGGAATAAAAATGGCGTCAAGTCGGACACATTCTACCTGCGTGAGCGTACTGTGAGCTGAGATCAATGAGCATGCCTTATTTTAAGTTTAAGTTGACCCAAAAGTAGAAATTGGCCTTCACACAGTAACATAATATAAGCTGAAGTCGCCTTTCAGTTAAATGAAACTACAGTAGATTATAGTAGAGTACAACAAATTAATTCCCTGTTCTTCTGTTGTTTCCCGCCACACGGCTGTCTGCAGGAGTCACATCATCACTCAGTTTAATCAGGGGTTTTACGACTACATCATCGCCACAGACGAAACCAGCCTGGCCGACCCCACTGCTGCTCCGCAGACGACTGCAGGCAAAGGGAAGAAGAAAAAGACCGCAGAGAAAGGAGGAAAGTGAGTTGCATCAGATTTTCTTGGCAATGCTGGCTTTACGCTGATCGCAGCGAATCACAGCAGCCACGTGCTCTGCAGCTTCAGACTCTGACAGCTAAACAGGGCTGAAGCAGGAAAACGTGCAAACCAAAATATCAGGTTGTCTCAGGGGGCCGTCATGTACAGCTTGAGCACACACAGAAAATGTGATTCACACAAGCCACAAGGAACGCTGTGGTGGGGAAAAGAAACCAAATTGTAGCGGAAACGGCGAACACACCACTCTGCGTCAGTGATTTAGTAACATGACGCAAACAGGAGGTGAGGTGTTTATTTAGATTAGCAGGGGCACTTTTCTTTCTGTGAGACGTTTACAGTGAGCTTTTGAACGTGGTGCTGAGGCTTTGGCTCTTTAATCTCTTTCCCTCACACTTTGGATAATGCAAATCTTCTGCCAAACCTCGGACACCACATTCTGAAGCATTGATTTGAGTCCTCACACAGCCAGACGTTTCTGCAGACCTTTGGTGACACGTTGACAATAACTGCCGAACGATGTTTTTAAAGGACTAAGGACAAGGAGTACGGCGTCTCCAGAGGTGTGGACTTCCAAAACGTTGCCAATGTCATCAACTTTGATTTCCCCGCGTCTGTAGAATCATACATTCATCGAGTTGGAAGGTAAGAAGCTCCCCGTCGTTTATTTGCGAATGCCGATTGGCCCTCTGTCTGAGCGCTTCCTGATCATTTGGTTTGTTGTCCTGTCGTCAGAACGGCGCGAGCAGACAACCCCGGCACGGCTCTGTCCTTCATCTCTCACACTGAGCTGGGTTTGCTGTCGGAGGTGGAGGAGGCCCTCGCAGGAGGTAACGAGGACGTCATTTTAGTCTTTTTATTAGTGTTTAGTCCATGAAAAAGTGGGAAAGGGCGTCACCAGCAGGTCAGTGACGACTGGAACACTTTCACTCTGCAGCTACAGGACAGCAACATGTTGCTAACATAAAGCTTTGTAAACTAATTATCCCTCTTTCTCCTTAAAATGAGCCGTTGCAGCTGACCTGGTTTTAATGCTGCTGAATGTTTCCCTCCCTCCTGTGTGACGCTCACTTCTTTCCTGCTCTTACACTGCAAAAACTGAGCTCTCAAAAACGAAGGGGGGAAAAAAAGCAATAAAATGGGGGAAATATTACTTAAAATAAGCAAAATTATCTGCCAACAGAACAACAATATTTCCCTTGCTACTTAAGGACAAAAAAATTTTGAAATGAGTGAAATTCTCTAACATAAAAGCCGCCTGGTAAGAAGAAACATCTTATCAGACAAAAAACAAGCAAATTTTGCCTTCAATTAAGATAATTCATCTTACTTAGATTTTAGTTTTTGCAGTGTATTTAATAGGAAATGTAAAAAAAAAAAAAAAGGCTTTCAAATGCATTTCATCAATATAGCATTTTTGAATTGAAATATATTATAATGTCATGGTCAGCTGCGATTGGCTGCAGCCCCCGCGACCCTGTACGCAGGATTAGCGGTTGACGATGGATGGATTATAACACTGTCATAGTTTAAGTAGATAACACTTTTTACGATGAACTTTATTCTTCCTGGTGTGTCAGAATACTGCAGATTCAAGAGGAAGATGGTTGAATCTCTAAAGGATAAATTATAATCTGTGTGAGGGGAGAAGGGAGGTCGCTTTTGACCTGTAATAGCTGATAATGAGCAAGGAAGTCCTCAAACAACCAGTGTTTTAATGTATCGGCCTGATTAATCTTGGCGTCTAATCCTGTGACTGTTGAGTGGAACATTAACGTGTCTGAAAGGCGTGTTTCCTTTGTTTCAGATCACGCTGAATCTGTTCTGAAACCTTATGAGTTTAAGATGGAAGAGATTGAAGGCTTCAGGTACAGGTGCAGGGTGAGTATCCTCGTCATGTTTGTGAAGTGACAAAGCAGGATCAACTGTCTTCTCTGTCCGGTTTACTTTTGCCTAGTGTCCATAAGAACAGCTAAGAACACATGATACGCTGGCTTCAGTTCAGACTGTCACCTTCAGGTTTGCTAAGTGCTGTAAAAGTTTTATCGTGTGTGTCTGCAGGATGCGATGCGTTCAGTGACCAAGCAGGCGGTCAGGGAGGCCCGGCTGAAAGAGATCAAACAGGAGCTGCTCAATTCAGAAAAACTGAAGGTGAGTGACGGCCACTGCTCTGCGGAGAGATTAGTGCAGGTGGACCCGTGAGGGCGTTTTCTGATCGGATGTTTCTGCTGTCTCTCAGACATATTTTGACGATAACCCCAGAGATCTGCAGCTGCTCAGACACGACAAAGACCTGCATCCTGCTGTCGTCAAGCCCCACCTGAGGAACGTGCCCGAGTACCTCAGTAAGACGCGCACACAGTAAACATTAGGTCACGCTCACAGAGATGTCCGTTGTTGCTAACTCATCGTTTTTTCTCCGACTTCCTTCAGTTCCTGAGACCCTGAGGGGCGCCGTGAATCCGCTGTTAAGCAGCAGGAGGAGGAAGAGGAAGGAAAAAGCCAAGCCGGAAGGAGTCGTCAAGAGCAGCTTCAAGGTGAGACGATCAAATGAAACTGTACGTCCCTCTGACGAGCAGCTATAGAGCAGCGTGACGAGCCCGCAGGTCTTGAAGAAAGTAAACAGTGATTAGTTTTTTATTATAAGGAGCTCGAACAAGCTGTGGCTCAGGAGGTAGAGCGGGTTGGCCGTTAATTGGAATGTCGGCGGTTCAATCCCGGCTCCCCCTGGTTACATGTCGAAGTGTCCTTGGGCAAGATACTGAACCCCGAATTGCCCCTGGCGGCTGTTCCGCCAGTGTATGAATGTGTGTGACTGCTGAATGCAGATGTAAAAGCGCTTTGAGTGGTTGAAAAGACTAGAAAGGCGCTATACAAGTACGGAGCATTTACAAAACCCCAAATTCAAAATCTCAGAAAATTAGTATATTACATTAAATCAATAAAAAAAAAAAAAAAAAAAGGATTTTAAATACAGAAATGTCAGCCCTCTGAAAAGTATAATCATGCAGATGTACTCAGTACTTGGTTTGGGCCCCTTTTGCATGAATTACTGCCTCAGTGCGTCGTGGCATGGATGCTATCAGCCTGTGGCACTGCTGAGGTATTATGGAAGACCAGGATGCTTCAATAGCGACCTTCAGCTCTTCTGCATTGTTCAGTCTCATGTCTTTCATCTTTCTCTTGGCGATGCCTCATAGATTCTCTCTGGGGTTCAGGTCAGGCCAGTTTGCTGGCCAGTCAAGCACAGTAATCCCATGGTCACTGAACCAGGTTTTGGTACTTTTGGCAGTGCATGCAGGTGCCAAGTCCTGCTGGAAAATGAAGTCAGCATCTCCATAAAGCTCGTCTGCTGAAGGAAGCATAAAGTGCTCTAAAATGTCCTGTAGACGGCTGCGCTGACTCTGGACTTAATAAAGCACAGTGGACCAACACCAGCAGATGACGTGGCTCCCCAAACCAACACAGACTGTGGAAACTTCACACTGGACTTGGATTGTGTGCCTCTCCGTTCTTCCTCCAGACTCTGGGACCTTGGTTTCCAAATGAGATGCAAAGTTTGCTCTCATAAGAAAAGAGGACTTTGGACCACTGAGAAACAGACCAGTTCTTTTTTTCTTCTGACGTTGTTTGTTGACGAGAGGAACACGACATTAGAAGCCCGTGTCCAGGACCCGTCTGTGTGTGGCGGCTCTTCATGCAGTAACTCCAGCCTCAGTCCTTGTGAAGCTCCCCTGCACATTTGAAAGGCCTTTTCCTCTCCAGGCTCCGGTCATCCCTGCTGCTTGTTCACCTTTTTCTTCCACTTAACTTTCTATTAATGTGCCTTGATACAGCACTTTGAGAACATCCAACATCTTTTGCAGTTACCTTTTGAGGCTTTCCCTCCTTGTGGAGGGTGTCAATGATGGTTTTCTGCACAGCAGTCTTCTTCCACTGAACCAGACTGAGAGACCAGTTAAAGGCTCAGGAACCATTTGCAGGTGTTTTGGATTAATTAGCTGATTAGATTGTGACACTTTGAGGCCACAATACTGAACCTTTTCACAATATAATAATTTTCTGAGATTTAGAATTTGGGGTTTTCATAAACTGTAATCATCAAAATTATATCAAATAAAGGCTTGAAATATCTCACTTTGCATGTAATGAGTCTATATAATATATTAGTTTCACCTTTTAAGTTGAATTACTGAAATAAATGAACTTTTGCACGATATGCAAATTTTTTGAGTTTCACCTGTAGATATTTATCATTTTATTCTTTATCTCACTCATCTCACATATAGATAAAATGTTTTGTAAAATTCAAATGTTATTTTCTCTTTTTTTATTGCAAAGGAGACTTTAACTTAGCTCAATTCCCGGTGGTCAGCTTTGATATGCCGCTTCAAGTTCTTAATCTTTTTTCCAAAAATCTTATAACCACTTTGCTCGCAGTCCGATATAATTAGGCACTCTGTGTTTTTTGTCCGCCTCTCTTAATTTGAAACGGGACCAAATATCCAAGCGCCTCTTTCTCCTTAGCATGTTGTGTTCATCAGCAGAGTTTCCATCCTCCACAGTAACGTTTTCCTCGTGCACCAGGCGAGGGAAAAGTGAGTGAGAAAAATTGGCCTGTAATATTTTGTCTCCTGACAAAAAGAAAGCGAGATTTTAGTAATGTTTTTATTTTATGAATTACATTTTAGTCTCGTTGTTTTTTTGTCAACAGTATTGCATGTTAATAAAGTCACAGTCAGTGTTGAAGGACATTGTGGGCGTCTCGTTTTCGTCAGGAACAAAAGGTTGTTGATGAATATATTTCGTTTAGTTTCGTCTGACGAAAGTAACACTAGTTAGAATATAATGGAAATCTCTTACCTTGCTTGGAGAAGCTTGTGACTATATTTTTATATTATTTCCACGTTTCAGAGATACATTTTTATATTTTGATGTTAATATCTGAGTACAGCTGAAATAATAAATTGGTTAAACGAGTTCATCTCTGTCAGTTGTATAATGTAAATATTTTGTAGTTGTCAGACGTTTGAAGACGTCACCGTGGGCTCTGGGAACTATTTTCTGACTTTTTACAGAAGAAGACAATAATCCGTAGATTAATCGGTAATGGATATAATTGTCTCTTGCAGTCCTGTATCTAATTATCAGTGGTCAAACTCACGTCTCTCTGTCAAGTGTACTTTTTATAACCGTTGTCCCTGTCTGTGTTTCACCAAGAATAACATTCAAACTGCATATTGAGACAAATTAGAAGTTAACCACAATAATTGACTTTGTCTTGTAGAAGAACATCCAGGGGAAGAACCCGCTGAAGAGTTTCCGATACACCGGAGGGAGGAACAGAAAAGGCAAAGCAGGCCGGTCATAGCTGCAGCCGCAGTCCACGTGAACGTGTGAATATGTTGTAACTGTGCAGAGACCGTCTGCAGGAGGACGGGATGGCGAGACAAATATAAACTGCATGGACTGTGGATGAAACGGGCCGCTGAAGCTTTATGGGCCGCGGACAGAATGGACTTTGTGAACTTTGGAACAGTTTGAAGTTGGATTTTTGTCTAATCCAAACATGATGTGAGTGTGGGCTGAGATTATGGGATGAATGCAGCGTCCATATCTTTTTGTTTCACTCTGGAAACATTCATAATGTTTATTAAAATAAAAAGATTTCTTCTCAAACATCGAGTATTTCTGTTGTAGTTCTAGTGAGTGAAATTTACAATGCTGACGTTTGGCTGGTTTGATGTTTAAAGTTAAAGGATCACCAAAGTTCCTGTTCATCCTGAGGGGAACAAGAAGGTCTGAACCACATTTCCTGCAGTCTCTGAATACGGTTCATTAACTCTCCATGGTTTGAATAGAGCTCAACTGCTCAGGCAGGTTTGTAAGGGATTTAAACTCAGGGCTTATGTGCATATAATGACAACACCATAATCACAATTCTAAAAATACAGCATTTATAGCTTGAATATCATTCATTTAGTCAGAACCGCTCATCCTCAGTTTCATTTTCTCATTCTTTCTGCACCTTTTCTTCCAGTCCTGCTTATTTGTTTGTGGTTTTGTTGGGTTGCAAATTTCTCTTAAGTTAAAGACACTGAAACAATAAAATAACACACAGACTAGGTCAGTTTAGAAAATAACTTCATTTTAATCAAATGCATTCAGCAGTACATGAAATCAGTCTGAGGCCAGCTGTCGCACTGTAAAGCTGTTATATGAGTAAATGGAGGAGAAGTAACTAATCATGTCCTGCTTTTATTGTGACATGCTGTATATTGTTGAAACTTGGGGTGCATGGTCTCTGCTCAGCAGAAGCTTTCTATTCCAGATCATATTTATCTTGTGGATATTCGTCTCCACTCACTAAATAATGTGTTTAAAGCTGTGATGTTGCAGCAAACTGACGTGGTTAGTAAGGTCTTTGTATGATACAGCTGTACTGAACATGGTAATCAATCAATAGTGTAAATAAAAGGATAGTCCTGTGTCGGCCCTGAGTCAAAGATGAAGCTGTCGAACGGATTGTCAGTCAAACTGTCCATAGGAAACCAGGAGTCGTACCAGGAGGTTGTTTCCTCTGTTTCAGGTGTTGTTGTCGTGGTGGTGGTTGTTGTCGTGGTTGTTGTTGTGGTGGTTGTTGCAGGAGTGGTGTAACGATAGCCTCGTAATCTCCGGCCACGGATCCTGCGCAAATGCATCCTGCGCATACGCATGAGTCGCAGCCGCCTGTGTCGCACTGCGTTCTGGGATTTGGCTCGACTGCTTGCAGCGGTGCTGGTGACTTCCACTGTGCTGGCCGTGGTCGTTTTCACAACGTTTGCTTTGGTGACGAGTCGAATGGGCCTCTTGCCGTGGAGCACCATGATTTGTTTGATGCGGTCCCAGTTGGATTTGGCTAAGGTGAAGCTGCATGAAGTGGCCCCAGAGTCGTAGCCCACCATGCACAGTCTAGTCTGAGGGGTGTAGCCGTCAGCTTTGGCGGTCACCCTGTACTCTCCAGGATTCAACAGCCGCCAGTAATCACCGCCTACAGCTAAAGTGTGAGGCAGAAATATTAGGGAGGTCATTTCAGCGTTGTTATCTAAAATATAATTATCATGCAAAGTATCTTTGTGGTTCCAGCCAACATACCGGTTCTGACATCATGACGTATTCCCTCCACAGATATGGTGGCGTTAGGCAGCGGATTTCCCTCCACATCTCTCACTAGACCCTTTATCCCTCGATTAACCTGCACAGGAAACAGCATGTCATGCCTAAAATCCCAGAGCCAGTTCCAACCACAGTATTTCAATTGGACACAATAGCTACAGACAAGACTTTACTGACACCATAAGGGGCGGGGGGGTTGACACACCTGCTGCATCAACTCAGTCGGCCCATTGAAATGAATGATGAATGGGCATTTTTCTGTCTGTGTTCACACTGAAAGCACAAAGTCAATGCAAAGAGTCACAGTCCTGCAAATTCGCTCCGGGCTGTGCGGAAGATGCATTTGTTGCTGCGTTCGCTGGAGTTCAACTTGAGTGAGAAATTTGCATAACACGTGATGTTGCGAAAGCCTATCAGCGGTGACCGACGGCTTCAGAGCGTTGTTTGGAGAGGACCAGGCAGAGCGGGGTAACGACATGCCTCTGGCCAACGGAGAGCTGCTAAAGTACGGGGAAGTGTAGGAGAGCAGAGCAGCGCTGCAGCTTTGGGACAAATTAAGACCCGTAGTCGTTCTGGATTATGCTCTGATAACTACGCCGTTTACCCTGAACATGTCTGTACCGTCATTGGGCATGATGAGTATGGGGATCTGGGTGATGGAGCCGTTACGTCCTTCTACTCTGCAATTATTAGTTTTTGGGAATACAGCTTTGATTTATTTTCACTTGCACTTCTCAGCAGCTAGCTTCCGTGCATTTCCGGCTCCACTGGTTGGCTCCCAGAGCTCTGTTGGACTACTACTCCATATCTATATAAAACGGACAAAACTGGACATTGCTTGGAGAAAACAAAGCAAGGAAGTTGAACTACCTGATGAGTTCAGAAAATATGTCTCTGTAACTTTACTCCAGCTGTCGTACTTTACTGTGAACAAGTTAGCATAGCACAGCCCTGATTGATCCGAACTCCATTCAGAAAACAAACATTTAAAAAGTTGTTGTCTTGCTGACAGACCTGACAAAGCATGAATTCACATGTCTAACAGATCTGCATCATATTCTAGTTATTTTGGCATCAGTTTGATCCGCTTATTGCACTTAAATCACAGCTAAATGTTTACTTTGGGTTCATACAGCTGTGGTAATCGCGGGTTGAGTTTATTTGCTTATCGCATTGTGTGTGAACACTTGGCAGTTGTCCAGCGATAAAAACCGCACAAGGAGAGCGTTGTGAGGATTAAATTTGCATTGTACCATTAGAGTATTACTTTAGCCTCTGAAAAGTGGTCATAGTTCCGTCCTTCACCGGTGTCATGCTATCCCCATGACTGGACTACCATCCTGGAAAGTGGGCAACTGTCCTGGGGTGGGAATCCCTCAATAGGGGCCCACAACTAGGCAAAAACCTTCAAAGTGCCAATGGAGGCAGCCACCACTGGAATCCATCACGACCAATATTTTTCTAAGCCTACCCCATAACTTTCCACAGAACCTCTCAGGTCTGCCGGGGGATGACTTGGATGCTCAAAAGGTTTTGGGTGAATGGTCCAACTCATACTTCACAGTCCTGTACTCACTTGTTCAATGAAGGACAACAGAGCCTCGCGGTTGTTCTCCCACTCAAGAGGCAGTTCACTTTCATGGGGAAACTTGTCACAGCCCAAGAAAACGGACAGCTCAAAGCAGTTGGTGTGTAGGTAGCTGAAGTCATTCATACCTGCAGAAGAGGGTGACAGAGAGCTTCAGAGGAGGGTTTCATAAAGGATCACTTCACACCACTATTTACACCTAGTGGTGTCGAGCTGTCTGTCCAGCTATCCACCACTGAGATATCCAATATTATGTAGCTGCAGTACCAGAGGCTGCAGTTTCAGGACCCCCACAATCCTGGGACTGCAGTTCTAGGACCGTAATTGTTTGTGATTGATGTCCCTTCATTAATCCCCGTAGTGGAAATTGTTTGGCACAGCAGCTCAGAGGAATGTAAAAAGAAGAAAATACAATAAAAGTAGAATAAGTTAACTTGGACATCACCAGGGTTGGATTACCAGAGCAGTTTTTGGGTAATTTGATTACTTGCAAACAGAGGTGGAAATACACACATTACTGTAATTGAGTAGTTTATTTGTGCACTCGTACTTTTTGAAGTAGTTTTTTAAATCTGTCATTTTAATTTTACTTAAGCATGTTTTATTTAAAGTATTGTACTTTGCTACATTTTCAATCACATCCGTTACTGAGTTAAAAAAAAGTGCAAGGAAAAACTCGCGACCACTTTGGCTTCAACTGGAAAAGACAGTTCTATCATGCAGTGTACACGGTGAAAAAACACTGTATTAAGTTATGTTGTGGAAATTATATTCCTGGTGAGGGGTTGAGCAAAGAATTGAGTAACAACCAATTTTCTGCCATAACAAGTTACTGCTAATGCAAACAATGCATTTCAAATGCATTTCCTGCTGCTGCAGCTTTACATTAAATGCACTTAACTGGCTAAACACGTGGTGACTTTTATTTTTTTGTTGTTGTTTTGTTGTTTGTAAGCGAGATTAGCGCTGACAGGTCTCATTCGTCAAAAATGCGTCCACACAACAAGACAACAGTCAGGAGCAGCAGACACAGTGAGGCTGCACACCTCCACCTTCAGCCACGTGACCAACTCCTTTCACTTTTGCTGTTCGCAGACTCATGTTGTGTGCAGCATAAAGTCAAATCTCATTTTGCGAAAGTTGAAAATATTAAACAGCAATATGGCAATTATTTTAGGTTAACAAAGTAATTTTCTCTCTGAGTAAATTTTAAATGAGCTACTTTTTACTTTTACTTGAGTAGATTTTATACCAGTAACTTTACTTGTACTTAAGTAAAAGTTCATCAAACTAATTGTACTTTTACTTAAGTAGAATATTTTTGTACTCTTTCCTCCTCTGCTTGCCAATTAGTTTTTAGAAATTTCAAATAAAGTGAAATATCTGGTTCAGATTATAACTAATTATTCTAGTTAATACTGTGCTCACATGGTGCGTATTCCTAAATAAAACTGTTTCAGTAAGCCCAAATTATACTTTCCGCACCACGAGGGTCTGTGAGGATCCACTTGGACATGTGCAGACTGTCAGTTTGTACTGACGATGGTGAACACATCCATTTATGCAGACAAACAGAACCGCATGCACACCTTTGTTCTTATTTGGGGTATCTCCAACCTTTAACTGACCCACAGACCTGGGGCCATGCAGTATTCCTTTACAGTTATTCATTTAGCTGACACAACTAGGAGTTACGTGTCTTGCTCAGGGACACAATGGTGTCTCACAGTGGATTTGATCTCTCACACCAAAGGAATGCGTCTTATCCACTGCGCCTTCAAGTATCTTCTAGTACTTCAGTATTGTATAGAGCATTGTCTAGTTGGTCTCCGTGTAAAAAATAATGAAGCTGCAATCTATAGTTTGTTGTGTGCACTGTACTTGACGGGGACTTCAAAGCAACAGGTGCCCAACAGTAAGTTTTTGCCCTTGGACC